AGACAGGCCTACACTAAGCGCTGACCCTGCCGTGTACTTAGCTGTCTGATCTCGGACAAGTCACAGAGCCTCTCAGGCTGTGTCCTCATCTACAGAATGGGCTGATCACAAAAACTGCCCACCAGGTAGAGGGCCCTTGTCAGCATGGGAGCGAGCCCCACTCAGCGTTCCCTGCACATTAGCCATTATCAGCAAGAGGCTGTCCTTCAGCAAAAGCTGGGGCAGTCCCCGTCCTGGCCCCAGGCAGGAGACTCTGCTAGGTGGTGGCAAGAGGAGCTAGAGGGACAGGCAGGATGCTGCTTCATCCCCCTCAGGGGCTGGGACAGGATTCATGCAGGTGCCCTGCGGGGCAGGAGGAGGCTGGCTCACCCCGGGCAGGCGGGGTGCCAAGCATGCTGGTCCAGGCCTGCCCCCAGGCCCTGGAGGGCCCCTGAATACCCCAGCAAGACAGGGCCCCCTTCCAACAGGGAGGGACCAACCCCGAAATGATGAGCGTGGGACGGGGAGGGAGGGGACAGCTACATTTAGGGCTGCACTGAGCTATGCTGCTGCCGCAAAGGCAAATAACTGAACCGAGGAGGGACTCGGAGGTGAGGAGGAGGGGCCGGTGGGAACAAGCACAGGCCTCCCAGTCTTCCTCGGACCCTTGGGAGTCCTTGTCACACAGAACTATCCAGGGCCTTGCAGAGAACAGGGCTCCGGAGGCAGGAAGTGCCTGGCTCAGCTTCTTACTGGCGCAGGTATCTCTCTGGGCCTCAGTGAAGATGACACAGAAAGTCCCTCCACCTGCTGCGGCTGGACAGCCGGGGACAGGCAGCGTGGCCACGAGGTGCAGCCTCTCCCGGGAGTGACAAGACAATGTGACAGGAGAGACAGGAACAGGGGCGGGCCGGGCCAGGCTGGGTGGCTCTGTTCTCTCCAGAACAATGGCCGGAAAGGCGGTGGGGGAGAGGCTCGCAGCGACTGGACTGGGGACCTCGGTGGGAGGGCGGAGGGTCCTGGGTCGGGCACGGCTCCAGGCACTTCCCCTTCAGCACAACCTTCTTTCCCGGCCTGGCTGAGGGGTGGCAGGGTCACTCCTGATTTAGGCCGGGGCAGAGGATGTGAGCTCAGCGGGCCACCCCCAGCCCACTCCATTTCCTCTGGCCAGAGGGGACAGCGCAGGGGAGGGAGTGGGGGAAGGAGGGAGTGAGCGCGTCCAGAACAGTCCTAGGTAATTCTGACGAGCAGCCAAGTGTGGGAGCACAGGCAGAGGGCACGGCGGCCTCTGATCTGCCCGCACAATGGCTGTGTGACCTTGGGCTCTCTGGGTGTCAGTTGCCTTATCTGTAAGTGGATGTAGAGGCAGGGAGTTAAGGGGATCACAATAGTTCATGAACTGTAGGGTCTGCAAAATGTCACCTTGTGATTGCCTTTATTTTTTTTTTACCAGCTTTCCTATTTTCTCAGAGGCCTGGGAAGGGAGGCACAGTCCCGGGACCCTGTCACCCTGCCTGCGCCCACTCTGTGCTCAAGTCCCTTCGGGGGCTCGGGGAAGGGACTGCTTCCCCCAGACATTGCTCCTGGGGCACAGGGAACCTTCCTGGAGCCCAGCTGTGAGGCTCCCACCCGCAGCCAGACCCCACCCACCTGTCCTCCTTTGGACCTCACTTTGAGGCCCCAGGCCATGAGGCCAATAACAGCTCAAACAAGGCCCTACTGGGCAGGTTGCCAAAAACAACACAGAGGTGAGGGGAGAAGGGTGCGCGGCTCCCACTCTTAGTGCTCCAGGGACCTCTTTAGCACCTTCCCCCCACTGTGCTCACCCTGCACCCACTTCCTCAGGGCACAGAGACACCCCCACAGCTTCATCTCCCTATACCTTGGGTCTCCTGCCCTGGCCCTCCTTCTGGCACCCACGCTAGTGGGTGTGGGTGGGGATAACTAGATGTTTTCATTAGCCAAAGTGGATCTTGGGGCTAGAGGCCCAGCACTCTGGGGGGACCCCCTCTCCTCCAGCCCCAGTGTGATGGCAGCAGCCACCTCCTGCCCCTGCTGGTACAGGGACTCCAGGGGACAAGTCTAGCGTCCTCCTGGGAAGGCCCGGAGAGCTCGCCCTGAATCTAACCTCCTTGGGGTCTCACAGCAGAGGTTCCCAGGAGATGAGGCGCAGCCGTGCACGAAGCCCCCACAACCCTGTCAAGACTAGGGGCCCCAGGCTATGGAGAAACCTCCAGCAGATGAGCTAGGCCACATGCCACCAGGGGACACGGGCAGATAAGTCAGGGGCTTTGGCAAGTGGTTAGGTAGTGTTGGACTTTGTTTTAGGCAGTAGAACTCCCTTTGTAAAGCTATTTTATGGATATGCCCATTAAACTAAGACATAAATGCAGAGATGATCTGTTTGAAGCGGTGTGGGTGGGGGTGGAGCTCTATCTGTTCAGTCTTTCCCAACCCATTATCGGAAACCCCGTGGCTCCAGAGAACAATCTGGAAAGCCACCTGCTGGAAGAAAACCCCAGGAGGGCAGGAATTCCGGTTTGTTTCATTCACGGCCGGACCCAGCGCTGGAGAACACAGCCTGGCTGGCACACAATAGGCGCTCAAAAACCAGCTGAATGGGCCCTGGCTGGTGTGGCTCAGAGGTTCGGTTCCTGGTCAAGGGCACGTTCCCCAGCAGGGGCGAGTGGGGAGGCAACCAATCGATGTGTCTCACGTAGATGTTTCTCTCTCCCCCTCCTCCCTCCCTTCCACTCTCTCTAGAAAGCAAAGGAAAAAATACCCTCGGGTGAGGAATTAAAAAAACAATATTAATTTGAATGAATACACTTCAACCTTTTACTTTACAGGTGAAGGAACTGAGCACCAGAGAGGTTATTTGCCTGAGACACACAGCAAGGGGGACCCAGCTTCCTCTCTCGCTCTCACACACAGAGGCACTCCCTGTATAGAACAAGACAGATCTCCCCCCACCACCGACCCCCCCGTGACACCCCTCCCCGCACCCACTACCCCCTTCTTTCTCTGCAACCTGAGCCCTCAGAGGAGGGTCTCAGATGGACAGTCGCCCCATCAAGTACTCACTGGTCTTTGCAGCCTTGACTTTAGCCACCAGTTTCTGCACACCAGTCACGTCTCCGTTCTTGACGGCAAGGATCAGGTCCTGTTCACGACCCATCCTGGTCCCCAGGCTGGGCTCTGGGCTCAAGAAGTCCAGGGGAGAGGCCCGAAAACCGGTGTGAGCCAAGGCGTCACGGTGCCATGCCTTGGCCCTCTGGAGGGCCAGGCGTCCTGGGGGAGCGTGGCTGGTGTCTCAGGCGGTGGGTTTCTTGTCAGGCACTGACAGGTATTCCAACAAGGTGCTTCGTGAGCTGCCGCCACAGGCTGGAAAGCCGATCTCCGAGGGGGCGGAGGCTGCTCGGAAATCTGGACAGATATCAGCTTGCAGCTTCCGACAGCCCAGGATGGGCTGGGACTGGGCGCGCCAATCTTCCCAGCGTGGCTCAGGAGCACCAGTGCCCACCCAGAAAGCCGCCAGCATTCCCTCGGGCCTCGGGCAGCAGTGGGAACAGGTCTCGGGGTCTGGAAGAGGGGCGGTGCTTTTGCTGAGGGCTAGGCCCGAACCTGCAAGGGTCCCAGAAGCAGGGCTCTGAGGAAGAGCAGTTCAGGGCCTCCAGGGAGCCCCCCAACCACGCTGGCTGCCCTAGGGGCCCAGGGAGGGGCTGGCCACCAAAGCGGGAAGGGAGCTGCCATGCATGAGAGGACTATCTGGAGGGGGGAGAGGTGGCATGCTGGGGGGGAGGGGGGCTGAGTCACTGTGGCCCCAAGACACCTGGCAGCATCGCAGCCTGTTCTCCACAGCCCCAGGGGCTGACACCCACGGACAGCTGTGTGCCAGGAGGTGGGGCCTGGGAGGGTCAGGCACAGGCAGACAGGAGGGTCACTCCCTGCCGAAGGTGCCAGCCCCCAGACGCCTCCCTCCCTCCCCTTTACTAGAATCGCTGGAGGCCCTGGCTGCAGAGCTCTTTATGAATTCAGAGTGGAGTGGGGAGCGGATGGGCCCCCCATTTCTGGCGGGGGGCTGCTTCTCGGGCAGGGAGATTGCACAGCACCTGTTGCTGACCTATCCTCACGCCTTGTGCGGGTTGGAGAAGCAGCTGGGCAAAGAACAGAGACCAGAGCTGGGGCACTGCTGGCAAACGGGGCTGCCTGGCCCCCAACGCCTGAACCTGAGGCTCAGAGCCCCAACTTCACTGCAGGAAAGCTTACGTCAGTTCCTCAGTGGCCACGAATTTGCTGCCCGAGTCCTGCGGCATGACACCGGCATGATACCCGGGCAGGCCTGGGGCTCTGGCTGGGAACCCTCAGTCCCAAAACGTCCCAAGCCCCAACCAGATGGCACTCCCTCTGATGGCACTCCCTCTGATGGCCCGCGGCCGACATGGGGGGAGGGCGCCCCTGGCAGTGCCTGGGGTCGGCCAGGCTCCCCCGCCCCCCGGAATGCCCGCCCAGCCCCCCGCAAACCCCCAACCCCAACCCAGCCCAG